TATATATATATATATATATATATATATATATATATATATATATAAATCATCAAAGAAAGGTAAATACAGACTTCATTGGGAATCTATCATATTATAAATTTATATCCATCGTAATCACAATCTTTTATTTTTCATAGACCCGTATGTTGACATTGAGGTAACTGAATCGATAGGCGAAGAGCTAAAGGTGCAGACCTACCAGACGACAGTACGCCGAGGCACTATGAATCCGGTATTCAAAGAAGCTTTCTCAATCCCGCTGTCGAACACGACAACTGCGAATGATCTCACTCTTCTACTTGTGGTTCGTGACCGAGACTATATACTTCCTGATGCAAATATCGGCCATGTGCGCTTGGGTGTTGGCATGACGACGAGTGAACACGTAGAAAGTTGGAATAAACTTTTCAAGAAAACGGGCCAGTTGGTTACAATGAAGTGCGTCCTCTGTAATATGCCAATTGATGACTAAGTCCTCAATTCAACAGTTTGTGGTTATACCCTCCCTGATAATATGCAATAATGACATCACATAGTTATGTATTATTGAAGTTGAAACGAATAAGTGTGCCTTTTTTCAGAGTTTTATTAATGTCATGTTTAATGAATTTTAATATTTTTTACCTACATTTTTGTTATCAATGCCTTACTATCGATTCGATTTCAATTTATTTAGCAAAGTGAAATGGCAGTATCAGTTATTAAATTGCGTATTGAAATATTGGCGACGCACCGTTGTAAGGCTCATGGCTTGAATAAGCCGTATCGGCCGAGCGTGAGAGAGAGAGAGATTGAAATATAGGTTATAAAATCTAAGAATTACATTTTACAGCAAAAGTCATATGTAGGCCTAATATAAGAAGTCAGAATTAATAAAAACGGTAATGAATTGAATTATTCTTGTTACAAGATTAGGTCTACATAAATCATTATTTGATAAAGTAAGTTGACACTTATGATCAGTGTTTCTTCCTTTAAGGTTTTAGCTTGTTCGGTCAATAATTGATACTGATAGTCGTTAAAACAGAATAGAAGTGTCAAATCACCGGGAATCGTTCATACCATGATTTTTAGGCGGTAATATTACGCATGTTTCATCTTAGTTAGCCCGGGGTGTCCATTCTACTGAAGTTCCTTGTTTGTTATGCTTACCTTGTCTTCTTTGCTTAAGTATGAATCCCAACCTGCTGTTAGCTACGTTGAAAGTGGTTCAGATGACAATAGACCTTTCCGTGGTGTCAATCAAACTTAACAACTGACCAATTAGAATTCAGAACATCGCTAATATTAAGCACTTGTTTCTCAAGACTTAGTGCGTACCTCAAACGCACGTGTTTACGTACATTTAAGGCCTGTTTATAATTGAAACGATAACAGTAACGATAAAAATTTAAAAAGCAATTGTTCATATAGGAAATAATATAAATAATAAACGTTTTTACACTAAGACGATTCGATAACGACCTATATACGATAACAAAATATTTTGACAAATCAATTCAAATGACGTCATACATGAAAAAACGATAAATCGTTGTTACTACTACAATTTTATCATTTTCGATGATTACGACGTCATTTGAATTGATATGTGAAATTATTTTTTATTGTATACAAGATAAGTCGTTATCGAATCGTAAAAACTTCTCTTATTTCTTTTATTATATGAAAAATTGATTAGCTTTTTTATCGTTATCGTTGCAAGTATGAACAGGCCTTTACGCTATCTTAATAACAACATTATCCATCCTTAGCGGAAAGGTATATTTGCTTTTGACTCTGTATAAAGTAATAACAGATTCAGGTAGGCTACTATGTATGCCCACAAAATCGCCATACTCCGCCCGAAAAAAGCTGAAAGGGACGTGGTTTCTACTGACAAAAAAAAAACAGGAATGATAAAAGCACAGCTTTGGATCAGATCTACAACAATAATGATAACAATAATGCATTAATGACAATGACAATCATAATGAGCCCACCTAACAATATTACGTTATACGAACGTTATAATAACGTTAATGTTGTTTCAAACCATAAGTACGTACCTATAACCTAATTTCACACAAAGTCAGACGGGTTGAACGTTCCTACAACGTTGTGTGAAAGTTATTTTCAGACATACCAAACCGCAACGTTAATTATAAGAAAGTTTTGTGTTTGCTGGGGATAATTAAATGGTAATAATAATGATAATGATGATAATATGTTGGTGTAGAAAAAAATCTGGCGGTTGAGTGGCAACATGGGTAAGGTCGATTTAAACATTAAAATTGATTTCATCGACTTGGAACAATATAAATGCTATCAAAGCCCCACGAATCAGGAAGATGCTACAAAACGAACTCTATTGTTACCAGAGAGGAACTTACAAAATGATCGTTTTGATATATAGTTTAAATTATAGTTTACAATATTGATGAAATTTTATATTTCACTTGTTAGGCGTATACAATTTATAAGCAACTGATATCGTAAAATCATAGGATACTCAGATTACATTTGCATGATGTCTGAGAAAACTACTGTACGTGATACTCAAACACCAATTTACTTTCCATTAGTAAAATTAAATGTGAATTCTACCGTTTTTATGCTTCTGTGGTTTTTTGATATAAGGAGTAAATAAAACCCTGAGATTTTGTTAGAAAGGAGGGTAAGAAAGGCAGATGATTCAAGGATACACTGGAATAATTTTGTACTTAATAAGAAAATATTATTTTTCATTTATGTTGACATCCTTATATTTTCAAATCTTCTCACATTGTATATTGTTTGGGTATGTGCACGGCCCCTGGGAAGAACAACCCTGCGGTGATCTGGGCCCCTGTGGATGACTAAAGTTGAACTCGAACTAGTGGAAGAGAATGCCCGTGTGTGCGAATTTATGTAACAAAAGGTCAAGATCAGTGCGAGAGTAGTTATTTATCAGTAAACAGAGATTACGGATGCATCTGTAAATAATTTTGAATACCAAAAGTTTATGAATTGGGAGAAAGTGAAAAGTTTATAAAATGAGACTTGAAAACGTTAAATTATATTTTTGTAATTTCTTCCATTTAAAGCGTACCGTATGTTATTCTTTAATCGTATTAGTTCAGTGTCATTTCGTTGATACATTGTTATACTGTACTATAAATTTATATATTTTGCTTTGCTAGATTTGTAGGTCTGTTTTATGTATTTATATTCTCAACAAATCAGCGTGTTTATGTATGTTTTAATATGTAATAAACAAATGATATGGAATAACAATGAAATAAACTTTTATCCTTAAATGTGTGACTTTTTGTAATTGTTGGATGATGCATGAACGAAAAAAAAAACATTCCTCAATGAATGATGCAAGAATATACATAAAGATCCAAATGGTGAAAACTAAGTTTAAACAGAATCAATTTTTAATAATTTACTTAAATTTACTGATATAAATTTATAGGTATATGTAAAAAAAATGAATTATATTACTTTAACGTCCTTTGGTCGTTAACTATGATGTCAAGAGGTAGGCTTACGATTACAATAACACCAACTCCTCCCACGATTTCTAAAAATTATATTTACACACGCGCAATATAATTATGCCTAGACCTATTGATGTTAGCAGTGATTATACTATTTATAATTTACATTATGATTCACAGATTCATCAGAACAAATTTGATTTAATTTTTAGTTTCATTCAGGGGGAATATGGCCCCGCCGGACAGGCCTGGACCCCCCTCCCTCGTCATTCGACGCCATGTTGCCTACCCAAAATAACGTTATTTTGATTGCTTATCTCTGTGGTCTAAAAGCATAATTTGAGAGCATTAGGCATACTAAGCCATTGATTTTTTTCCCGAGAACTCTATGGATTTTTTTTATTACGAGACCCCAACCGAGGCTCTATTCGCCGCGGCCCCTTGATTTGGACCCTCTGACGGACCTGGATCCCCTGTCGGTAAATTAATATCTGGAGCCACCACAACTGTCCAGTAATGCGTGATATGAACTTGAACATGCTCATGAATTCTTTTTATTTTCACAGTAACTTAACGTTTTCAAATGAAATCGCCTGTTAATTACTTATTTGCATGTTTTGAACAGCAATAGTACTTCCTTTTGTACAACATTATAATTTCAAAAAATCTGATGCATAAGTAACTATGATTTAATTATTCAACGGTTTCTGGGAATAGTACCACAAGGCTCGATTCGATTGTTTGAGCGTTTCATTAACTTCGCCATCTGTGCATTCCGACTCCGGCCTTCCGATATTATACACCTCTCAGTCATACGGTCATACGGACGTGCAACGGATGCGAACATCAATAATGTAATAACGGAAGCGTGGACAGTAATCCTCCAGGTTCCGCAAGTAAATTACACAAACGGTATAGTATCCCGATGCTTTCGTTTATAGATCTTAAAGTTACTAAATATAAAATAGTGAAATTTATTGTTGCTTGTAGGCCTACATGTTTTTAAGGGCCTAGTAGCACTATTGTTTTTATATATTGGTTTTAATTAAATGTAAGGTCAACATGACTACACACAATCCAATAATTATCAGCACTATGCAATTTTGACGTATTTTTACGTAACATATTTCTATATTCGCTTTCCCTTTGCTTCCCACCAGGGCCTCATCTCTCTGGACACAGGCACGGTGTTTGATTCATCGTCAGTAAATTTGATACAGGGAGAGGGCGGAAGATGATATAATGAAAGGGGTGGATCTGGGTTAAAATTTAGGGGTTCACAATTATTAAACGGTCTTTCCAAGAGAATGGTTTTTTTGCATTTTACATTTAATTTTTATAAGATTTTGCTGATCGTTTAAAAACATGGTGTAACGCCTGCGCTCTCGATCGTGCGGTGGGTCCGCAGGGCTCCCGACACATAGGCGCCCAGAAGGGGATCCTTACCACATGGTCCTCGATCTAGCACCCGGCCCTCAGACACCAAAGGGCTTTGTTGATACATTAATGTGTCTCTGACATCGACTGTACATCATGTTATATCCAGTGGCGAATTAAATGGGCCCACATTTTTAAATTTTAAGTCTGTAAGTGCCGTTTCCGGCCATTTAGAGGCGCTGCAATAATAAATTTTCTTACCTCAGCCCAACCCTGGTGGCATGAGGTAGTACTGACCTTTCATCAGTGAAAGTCTCTCTCTATGGGTCCTATAAACATTGGATTCGCCACTCGTATCATATCATTTATTTAGATATGATATACCGGTAACGTTTAGAATGCAATGACAAGCATAATTAAAAAACGAGAGCACATCTAAAATCCCACAATGGAATTGGCGACCGGGACTCAAAAGCCCCCCACCCCACAACTCTCAAAAAGTCACAGGGCCCCCAGTCAAATCGTTGCGCCACTGTTTAATAACAGTTCAATGTGTAGGTTTATGGTGTGTGCATAAACTTTATTTCATCCATTCAATCTGTCTTAATTTGACAGGTGTGAGGCGAAAAGAATATAAGAATGGAGCAGTTTTTGCCTGAATACTGTATTATATGGCTGAGGCTAAGCTGAAATGAAAATAGCAGAAAAGAGGGGAGAGGGGAGAAAAAAATCTTCAAGACAAATTAAATGAAAACACAGGCAAATCTAGGAGTCCTGAATAGAAGGAATGATGGGAACAGTGGCGGCGCCAGCGGGGGCAGGGGTCTTAAACCCCTCGCCCACCGGACAGGTCAAGCCCCCCCCAGGACAGAGCTCGTCGGGCAGTCAGACCATAAAACATATAAAAATAGCCCACACCAAGTCAACACATGTCTGTCACAGTCTGAGAGTGCCATTTTCGGCCATCCAGCTGGGGTTAATATTCTTTTAAAAAATCTCATTTGGGAGGGGGAGCCCCTTCCTCCAGCTCGAGCCTACGAGCTCAAGTCCTCAGGCTCCCCTGTCGGACAACTTATATGAAAATGTATCCTAGAGCCACCACTGGATGGGAAAGGAAGGTGAAGTAGGGGGTGGGGGAACGATGATTAGGTGAGAAAGAACTAGCCCGCAAAGTAAGGTGAAATGAGGTGATATTTAACTATTTTGAGCGTCATTTTTTGACCTCTAACATTGTCAATTGGGAAGACTGGGAGGCGCGTGGTTTTGTTGGGGTCGCGCCCCCCCCCCCACACCCTCACCACCAACTCACATGAAAATCAAAACAAAATAAAATAAATGGATTAAAAAAAATGTAATCGTCTGCATAATCTTACCTCTATGAAATTTGTAATTTATTGGTAGTCGTATTGATTTCACTTAAAGGGAATACAAACACTAATTAACTAATAAAACTACAGTAATTATATTCTACTTTACATTCTACAAGGTATTTATAGCATAATAGAGCATAGAACTAACTGATCATAAAGGTTCATATTTATTAACAAATTAAGAGGAAATAAAAAAACTAAAGTGTAACGAGTGGTAATGGTTTTCATAAGCGCCCCGTTTAAATAAGCGCCCCTTTCTAATTTGAATAAGCGCAAAAATAATATAAGATTTTCTTTTTAGCAAGTCAATAATCAAATCAATTCTGGGACTGCTGTGGTTTTGGCATGATTTGAGCTGCAGAGTGGAATCACATTCTTCTTAGGTCAATATCAAAATGAGGATATTTCTCTCGGACAGATGAGAGACCGATCCCTACACAGACAGTATATTTCCAACTTTCCTCTTCTTACATATTTGACAGCCGATGGCCAACAAACTAATCACTACCCACCACCACTAATTGCATCTGCTATTTTGCTGTTATGTAAATATTCACAGCATTCTTGTCATGGGCCATGTTCTCTGGACGATTATCTTTTCCGCCTAACCACCATTCGTAATGTCCTTGTATGATCTTTTTCCATTCAAATAGTGCCTCTTGAATTTAATAAGTTCCCATAAGAATCCCTCTATTTTCATCTATTTCCATAAGCGCCCCCTCAATTTCCACTTTGTTTTCATAAGCGCCCCATTTGAAAAAATAATTTAAGCACCCTGGCGCCTATTCGCGCGAGTACGCTACTGCTTTTACGATTAATAGGGACGATTTTAGTGAAAGTATGTTTTAAAAATTGGAAATTTGGGGTTGCGTATATTATTTGCGGGACATGTGCATCTTCCTGTGGCTGTTCTTATTGGTCAGTTATTATGCTTGATTGGCACTCCAGAAAGGTCTGTCACAGATCACTTATTACAGAAGACACAATAAATATCCATTTCACATATTACAAGATTTATTTTTAGGTTATTTGACAAAAAAAAAAAATTTATACAGTACAAAAATTATTTTTGGAATTTCATTGGAAATCAAACAGGAAAAAAAAATGTACTGGAAGGTGGTATTGAATAATAAATATTAAAAAGCACCCTATTAGTATAGGAAGACTCCTTACATTTATCTGAAAAGTATACGAACATTTTTGGAATAAATAATGTGGAATGAAAAACTCATTACCTTTAATTACTAACTTGCTAAACACAAGCAAACCATCTTCAGTTTGCTCAGTGTTGTCTGTAGTGTTAAGCAGTCCATGGTATTTGTGGTCATTTTTAATTGTGTAGGTGGGGATGAGAGCACATCAAAATATAAATTTCTACCATAAAAATATACGGAGTATATACAAGCATTGTAAAAATACAATTTTGTAAAACAGAAATTAAGAAATATATGTAATGATTTATAAAAAAAAAAGAAAAAAAAACCCCAATACATCTTATACTTTATTATTATATTAATAGTGAATGTGAAATGTATGTATATACTGTACACCATTTTCGCCAAAATTGAAATAAAAATTTGGAAGAACATGGCATCAAACGCTGGAAGATATCCAGAGGCATTTCACTTAGATACCAATGTTTATACATACAGTTAAACTTGCTAAGTCCACTTTGCCTAAGAAGAATAATTTCTAAGTAGATCTTATTTTACATGCTAAACTTTTGTTTTTCCATTAAATAACAATCCGTAAGTCAAATTTTATCTAAGTCAAACAATTTTTCAATGCCATTTTGGATTTGACTTAGGCAAGTTCAACTGTATGCGACAGGTGCATGGCTTTCTTTCATGTAGCCTAGTCTTTTCATAGCGATGCATAAAACCTTCAGTGTTTTTGGTTGTTTTACTATTGCTGCTCTGCTGGATGTCCCCCCAGTTAAAAGTTGCGAGTCTTCAGACGTTGGTGGCACTCTTTCACAATATGCCCGATAGAATGGTGTATAGGAATTGCACTCAACCTAGTTAGGCTTATTCAGCTGGACACCACTAAAAACTAACACATTATATCACAAGCTTTTAATATATTTGCTTACAATAAATAAAAATATTCTTATAATGAACTGAAAGGGCAACTGGGTTTAGATCTTTGGTAATACAGTACGGTATCATTTGTTATAAGCTGTGAGTTTACGGAAAGACGCATTAGTCAACATCCTGAACAGCCTCAGACTCCTCTCTTGCACGGTCAACATTCTGGATTGTGGTACCAAGAATTCCCTCAATATCATGGATAACATCCTACAGTGGGAAAAAAAAAAAAAAATTATATATATAAATATGGAGTGCAACTACTACATAATATGAGAGTGGAGGTTGCTCATTGTGCACACTGGAAAATTCAAAGGGAAGGGGGAGGCATCTCCTAAATTTTTCACAATTTAAAAAAAATGGAGGGAAAAGAAAATTATATTCAAATTCTGAGAGGTCTAGACACTTCATCTGCGAAAGTCCCTACCTGAGCCCCTGTATTTCAAATTCCTGGATCTGCCACTGGTGGATGACTGATTCCGTATTGTATGACGAGGGGAATCACCGCCTTGAGCAGTTCTTTCTAAGATGTTTAAGTGTACTTCACATAGCCCAACAATAACCAACTAGCTACAAAGCTCCAATTTATAATAATATACTGTACCTTAAAGTTTGTCTCGCCCTGCATGTTAGGGGCAGAGATCTCCTGGTGTATAATTGACAGATTGCGGGCGAATGATGCGAGGGCACTCTGCAATTGATCACCGACCGTCAACATTCCCATCACCTCACGCTTGAAGCTGTCAATCAAGGTGAATACACTGCCCTGACGTTCCTGGAAAGGTGATTAAAAATAGTTCATTACAGTTCACCATTGCAGTAACAATCCATCATTACGGTAGTATTTTATCATGAATATCTGTATGTTCACCATCATTACTTTCCTATTGTTCATTATCAATATCATAAACATCATATTCTTGCATTAATTAAGGTGAATTCTTTTTTTGGAATGGAAATACCCTTACTATTATTATTTATTAAGGATAACTAAAACTACTGTCAATTTTCCTTCAAGTAAAAACATCCTATTTAATAATGAAAGAGTCGGCCATGCATCTGCTACCATGCAGACGTCCTCTTTCTCTTTCACGCAACAATCATGTTTTTTTTTTTGTCAGATAGTACTCACTAAAATAGACATGGTTATTTTACAAAGCTGCTATTTAATAACTAAAAAAAAATGTGTAAATTATGTTTTTAAAAATATGATCAATTATCACCACTATTCCTCACCTTAATGTCAAATCCAATGCCGTGAGCACGGCACATTTGGAAGAACACGCTGTAATGCACCACTGCTAAATTTGTATGCCTTAATCGAGTACTCATTACGGCATAACGACTTGTTATTTTTTCCTCCTAGGATATAAAAAGAAGTTAATGTACCTCAACAAGAACACAATACAATTATTAATACATGCTCAATAAAAATAATTTTCCACCAATCGATGAATGAATGAGAGAAACCTCTGGAAAGCCATTGTGGCTCGGGAATGCCACCAGCTTAACTACTACTACTACCAATGGCGGATTCAAGGGGGTTCCCTAAATTGTTCAAATTTTTTTTTAAATGGAGATATTCAAATTTTAAGTCTAAGAGTGCAATTTCCTGCCATCTAGAGGTGCCATAATCACAATTTTTCTTATCTCAGCTCCAACCATGGTGGGGCTGAGGTGGTATAGATCCTCCATCTGTGAAAGTATCTCCCCGAGCGCCCTCTATTTTGCATTTCTGGATCTGCCACGGATTACCAACAGCGAACTTCACTCCTCAAATCGTATTTCCCTGTTGGGATCCTCTGCAGATCATATTTCCCTGTTGGGATCCTCTGCAGATATTATTCTTCTAATGGATTATTGTAACAACTCAACTTCAAAACACTCAACAAAAACAATTCTTTCCAGAACCATCTATGAGGTGTACCAAAAGCATATATTATTATTGTTACATGCATACCTTCAAACCACGATACAGTAATACAAATTCATAATGCGCCAATTACAGTAGAAAAAAGGTCAAAGCACAAAGTTGTTCTGAAAGGTTAGATAACTGTTGGATTTTTAAGTCTGCCTGAAAATTGTAACAAAGAATTAATATGTGGCAAAGACAAGCCAAACAAGTTACTCGTTGCAAATCGTGTTTCAGAGAAAATGGCCAAAACATGCTGGAATGTCAAATTTAAAAAAATCTATTTTATTGCACTGAACTAACCTTTATATATCTATACATCATTAAAACAACACTTTTTAAGGATTAGATGATACTGTAGTTTCTGCATGAGAAATTCCCAAAATCATAAACTTTAAGGCTGATTTCTCATATATTGTTCTTTAAACAGCTGTATGTTTAAAAGCTTGTAACTTCATATGGAAATGTCGGACTTGAATAATTTTTTTACTATTTTATAGCTCTTATTTTACTCTTCAACCCTGCCTGGGTATTAATAACTCAAAATCGATTTTTGCAAACAAGTGACTGGTTTGGTTTGTGTGTGCCACATATGGAAAGGTATTGTACATCATTGCAGAGAAGGAAAACTAGCAAGAAATATTATGAAAGTACAGTAGACATATATTTTGATCCTTTTGCTTCATTTACTTACTTCATTTTCGGGTTCCTCTGGCATTCCCCTTCTCCTCTTCTTGACCTCCTTCTTTTGAGGTGGTACATCTAAGGTCCAGTTGTTGCAGTCAATTTTACCCCCAGTCAAGTACAGCATCATATTGGTCATTGCAAGGCTGTCATCGTACCATAGATTCAAGTCTACAGCCCACAGCTTTTGCTCCATCTAAACAACAAATAATTACTAATTATCATAATTTCAAATTCAAATATTGATAGTACTGCTATATAGTTCACCTCTGTTTTCAATTTCATTTAGTTGTTTTCTTTCCTGTATTACTATTTTTAATGCTGTTTAGGTTTTTAAGGGGAAGGGGTAAATGCATTGTTTGGGGAGGGAATAATAGAAGGAATAATAATAACTTAGAGTATTGTTTCTGCAAACAAGTGGTAAGTTTTGCTCAGTTTTTTTCTTTTTAGTTGTAGGGAGGGGTAACATTTGAATCTTCAGGGAAGGAGGAGGAGGGAGAAAGGGAAATATTTTAGCTGTTTTGGGTTAGTTTTAAGTCTTAGTTATTCTTGTAATTTGATGTATCTTGTAATCTTTTGTCTTTAAGTTTTGTGTTTCGGACGCACCTTTGTTTTTCAAAGTGTGCCACTGATGTAAAAGTGCAAGTCCAAATAAATATTATTATTTATTTTTATCATTTAATCCGTAACATAATCAGTACCACTTTTTGTTACTACAATAGTTCATCAATTCATTATGAGCATTTGGGAACATACTGAGCATTCAGTACGATAGCACATCATGTTGGGCAAATATCAATTGTTATTTCTCCTGACGAAAAATGCCATCGGAATAGAATTGCAATACCCACTACTACTTGGGGATCGGATTCATCCCTAACCACCAAGCGCAAGCTCGGTGTTGAGTGGTTAAGACACCAGGCTAGTTATCTGGAGGTCCTGGGTTCACCAGGCTAGTTATCTGGAGGTCCTGGGTTCACCACGCTAGTTATCTGGAGGTCCTGGGTTCACCAGGCTAGTTATCTGGAGGTCCTGGGTTCACCAGCCTAGTTATCTGGAGGTCCTGGGTTCACCAGGCTAGTTATCTGGAGGTCCTGGGTTCACCAGGCTAGTTATCTGGAGGTCCTGGATTTGGTTCCCACGTGAATCACTTGCAACATTTTTTCTGCAAGCATTTGGGAACCTACTGAGTATTCAGTATGACAACATGTTATTATTTTTCCTGATGAAAAACGCCATCGGAACATTCTTATATCATTATCATCATTCACACAAACTCACCGATCTTGGATCAATGAAAGTTACAAAGTCGACAGCCAAGTAACCAACAACACCCCGTTGATGACAACTACGCCCTACTCTGTAACAAACGTTGTTAAGCTCTTCTGGTTCCACGGACGACTGAGGTACAGACACACCCCAGCAGTTGAAGGGAGTCTCGGCATGGATCTGGTCACCGGATGAGAGGAGCACGACTTTGCCAGTGGGTTCAATCAGCATGTTAACTCTCAAAGCTGTGACACTTTCTGAGGGAGGACAGGCCTCAATAACACCACCTGCAAAAATATTATAAAAAAGACAAAAGGTGATTTACAGCACAGCATTTAATAATTCACTGTGATTGAAAGTTTCCAAGCCCTTTTCCTGAACTTGTAATAGTTTTCTTGTTAAAATACTGACAAGAGCTCTGATGATATTAAAATTTTATTTATTTTATTTTTTTTTTGTTTTTATGTTTTTTCAATCTGACTTCTGACGAACAGGTTTGGGAGCAACTACACGACAGCCACATTTTACCTTGGCTAAGGAATGCTTCCAGGAACTTCTGCCATGTTGGGAAGACACTGGTGTTGACGGGATGAGAGTGCTTGACAAGAATATCAGGTATTTCCGCATGTATCTTAATATAAGCTGCTTCCTGTTGGAAATGATAATAAAATAAGTCAAAAAAACATTTTTAAAAACTACACGTTCATAATTTTGAAATATTTAGAAGGCCCGGGCTGGTTTCCCCCTCCGTTGAATCCACTAATGATCTGGTTAATCAACTTTCTGAATACATTTAATTTAATTTTGTTGCACATAGTGATACCCAACGGCTCTGACTTCCGTGAGAATATTGATAATAAAGCAGTGAAAAAATGCATCATTATGAATTTGCAGCGAAATTGGTTCATTTCTAGGAGATTCTTGCTTGGTTGCGGGAGGGCAGCTGAGGCCGTCCCAATTTCCGGTTCTGGGAAACTTGGGACCCTTGTATTAATTTACGTGCATTTTATGCACCAGTGATACCTACCACCAAACTTGGTGTTAAATGACTAAAGAGATATGACCGCCTAGGCCTAGGAAGTAGGCCTGGGCCAACTAGGTAGGTACACATTACATTACTTTTTTTAGGCCTCATAGAATTTATGTATGAGGCTTATAAAACAAAATTGTCTGCTCAAGATTTAAGGAATGGTGAAATCTATAGCGGTGGGACAGTAGATTTCACCATTCAGATCATAACAAGTTAATATTTGTATAATATAAATTGATAGTGAAGGTAAAGGTACGAACATCAGGGATATCTGTGACCTCAGTATCTAATTGCACCATGTACCTCCAAATTACTTAAATCCTATAAATGCAATGTTTCTCACCTGTGCCCACTTTTTCTTCCATTTCTCTCCATATCTCTCTGCTTCTTTCTGAGCCCATGCATGGCACCTCAGGTTGGGAGTGACATCACAGTAAGCAATTCCCCTTCCATCAACTTCATCATCAAGTTTGAACAAGTAGCGCTTCACGTCTAAATTCTCGGTGACAAGTTGAGCTAAACTCTCATGAATCTAACAAGTTTTAACAAAAGCACAAAACTACTTTGAGTATTATGCCTTTCATTAAGCATATCCACCCCAGTACTCTCTCCATGAACATTCCATCATTGCGCAAAAAAGTGCAAGTTACTTAATAAATATTAATTATGAAAATGAACAATTAGAATAATCATAGAGGTACTAAGAATAGGCTTTGTCTTTTACTTTTCAAACTGCCTTGCCACTACCTACCCTACCTATCATTTGCAGAACAGTTCACTATTAAATGTGGCAAAGACAAGCCAAACCAGTCACTCGTCGCAAATCTTGTTTCAGAGAAAATGGCCAAAACATGCTGGGATGTCAAATTTTAAAAAATCTATTTTACTGCACTAAACTAACCTTTATATATCTACACATCATTCTATGCTGTTATTTTCCCCATTTTCAATGTTAAAAAATAATTTTTAAGAATTTAAAGATAGTTTCTGCATGAGAAATGCCTGAAATCTTTAAACAGCTGTGTGGTTAAATGCTTGTAACTTCATAATGAAATGTCCGACTTGAATGATTTTTTTACCATTTTATAGCTATTATTTTACTCTCTAAACCTGTATTAATAACTCAAAATCGATTTTTGCGACGAGTGACTGTTTTGGCTTGTCTTTGCCACAAATATACAATGGAATTTGGCAAGGTTTTCGGCTTGCAAGTTGTACTCAGCAGATGAAATAGCTATGCAACAGTACCAGTTAATGCATATGGTTATACTTTCCACGGCTAATGACAGTAAACTGCTTTTTAAATGATTATTCATGGTCATCTACTTTGTTTAATGTATGTGGGTTGAATTTAGGCACCCAGTAGAAATCTTAGTATAGAACAGGATTCTATTCCAAAACACTGAGATTGGATAGGAAGCTACAGCTGCTCCAATGCAATGACGTCACGGAGGTTATGAAATCACTTTACCTGTTGAAGATGGTAGACATCATAATCAGAAGGAGGAACATCCACTTGAGCACTAGCAAACACTCTCTTGGAACCAGATTTTGTGGAGTACAGGTGCGCTACTTCCGGTTCGGTACCCAGGATAGGAACGCCTGCAGATAGGTGAACAAAAAGTTTTGGCATAGGATACAGTGATGAATCATTATTTTTATGAATGACACGTGACTATCCCAAGAAACTGACTTACTTAATGTATGAATGATATCATACTTTGTAGATAATAGTGAGTACAGAAGGGGTGCATGTGATGATGATCCCTCTACCAAGGAAGTATTGACAGAAATTACACAACTTTAAAGCAGTGGAGGTCCCTGAAATTTACCGACATGGGTCCGAAATGTCAGACAGGGTCAAGCCAAAGGACCGATTAGAGAGTGTGAGAGTATGTATGGCTTAGCATGACCCAAATTGTGCTTTTATAGACACAATATTAGGGATTGGCAATTAAAATAACGTTATTTGGATAGGCAAGTTACTATTATACATGAGGAAATGTCTCAGCCTCTGCCACCACTGAACCTAAGCATGCATTTCCATAAAAAGGTTATTCCTTTGAAGTAAATCAGATGAATTTTTCATCAGTTATCATTTTAAATGATAAATGAAATCAGATTTAATACCTAGAATTTCAGAAATGGTCAAATCATCCTTATGCATAGCACCAGGAACAATGTAGGCTTCTGTACCAGCAATCAGATTCTCAATCCTCTTCAAAGCTCTTGGGCTGTACTTTAGGTAAGAGGCTAAACACATACTATGGCTCTGAAGAAAATGAGGGAAATGACTTAGTTTTTAAATTTAAAAAGTTAATTTCACTGGGCATTTTGTTAAATTAACATTGGTAGATTCACACTTATCTTGTGAATGGATGGATTAAAACTTACTGGAAAACTGTTGATGGCCTCTGGGATGATAACCTTAAACCTATTTGACACATTCATCTGGTTCTCAACATTGCCAGAATCTACAGCATTTTTCAGGCCCAATAATTTATTGTAGTACTGAAGAATCTCATCATTGATGGTGACAGGGGATATGTAGATCACATCAACATTTTCATCTACAAGAAAAAGTAATAAGTTCATTTCGAAAAAATTTCATTTTCGAAAAAGTTGGAAAAAATTAATAGAACAGCAAAAATTTCCATCATCATTTTTTTTTTGCCGGTCGTCACCTGACTTATCATAATTATATTTATCATCATCACTATCACCATTACTACTAACATCATTACCACTATAATTACCAACACCATCAATTTATGCGGCCTTTACCTTTTAGATCACAGAGCCTGGCCATCTGTAGATTTTGCCGAATATTGAACTCATTGATACCTTCTCGGATCTTCTTGGAGTATCCGAGGGAGGGCAAGTGAATGACTGTTCTCCGTGACTGATTCAATTTACTCCAAGATTTCTTTAGTTGCTATGAAACAAAATAAAATGCACAGCACCAAATTACTGGAAGTAACGACTGAAGGTAGGAGTTAATGTACAACAAAAATGTGCACAGGGAAATAATAAAATGCAATGAAAAAGGCGATATTAAAAAAGAGCTTTAAAAATTATTAAATTAATTACCATTCAATTTAAGGGTCTACACAAAGATGTAGGAACAAAATTCTTTATGCATCTGATAATTGGGAAAAAAAATTAACCTGGTTCTAGGTAAGAAAGGTATAAACTTTATTATGCAATTTAAATATTAAATTGTATTTGTATATTAAATTGTAAATGTATACAGGTAAGTATAAAATATTGTTTGAAGATTTGCATGACGAAGTAATAATATACAGTATATTAATGTTTGCAGCACACCACATAGATAGTTCTAAAAATAACTGTAGTTAGTTGGGAATGTCTCAACGTTTCGATTGAGTTGTTTCAATCGTCTTCACAGATATTATTCTCCTGAAGACGATTGAAGCAACTCAATCAAAACTTCTATTCTAAACTAACAACAGTTCTTTTCAGAACTGTCTACATGGTGTTTTCCGTAAGCATTAATATATATGTATAAGTATAATTAAGTAACTCAAGTTTTAGTATGAATAATTGCCAGTTGATTAAACTTAATAATTAGATTCAAATATTTATTGTCACAAATGACAACAAAAATTGATAAGTTACATAAGCTTCATATACTTCATCCTACCTCTGATCGGACTTTGAAGTTTGCTAGTTCGTGTTTTCTTGTGGCCTTGAGATTCTTGCGGATCTTGGACATCTTCACGTTCATAATCCATGATATCGCAATCACACCTGCAGCCCACTTCTTCCGGCGATACTCCAGATAGGCCATTCTGTCCTTATACCGACGCCATGTTGATTGGATCTTGGTCGCTGCTACACGATCACCATTCGGACCCAGGTAGCGGCGACCCGGTCGCCGGATGAGTGCCTCAACATCGTCTTTGTTGATAATGACCGATAGTAATTCCGGAATTGACGGGTCTTTTTCTAGTTCATATTCTAATGCAAGGTCTGCAAGCCTGAAAAAATTATTATATTCAAGTTGGCAATAGAGTAAGAAATAAGTCTAATCAGAGAACGTAAAAAATTACAAATTAATAACCTGAAAATTCAGGACGATGAAAGATAAAAACATGGTAAAAATCAGAGGTACTCTATATCAACAACTTTATCTACAAACCACAATAATGATTTTAATAATTATGAATATGATAAATAAATATTTTCATACCTATCACCATTTACAAATGCTAACGGTACTGCATAAGCCGTCAATAACTTCTCTAAGAGTTTCAAAGTGGTACTGATGTTTCCCCAAGATAGGCAGTAGTGCTGTTTGAACACTGAGAAATCCTTTGAGTTTTCGCGCGCTTTGCCGTGCTGGATGGGAAACCTATGATGTAGGTGTTTGAACTCACTGGCTGGAGTCGTTGGTGGAGGCTGAAGCAAGATCATAATGAAAAAGGATCAGAATACTACACAAGAAAATTAAACTAGAGAAATTGGTACATAAGAGAAGCTGAACTGGTTGAGACAAAGTCTACCTTAGATATTTAATATAATTATTATTATACATATCCCCTTTCAGAGCTGCAATACCACAATCAATATTGCGGTAAGGATACCAACATGGGTTTCTGTTGGAAAAGGGTTGATGTCTTATTTTAGACCATTAAGCATCCTAGTAATATTGTCACAACACTGTGTTAATTGTTACAGCTTTGCTCTGTCTGAAAGGGTAAGCCGGCTTGCTCACTGAAACATAACTAATAAACAAAGCCCAGTTAAATTTAAAAGCGATTGTGCATGAGTTCTTAAATTTTTCACTCTTTACGCTGTCATTCATCTTCGTTGTCAGTGGGACTGTAAAGTATTTGTTAACGTTCAACAGCAAAAAAAAGGGGGGGGGGAAGCAAAACATTTAAAATAAAAAACCAAATATAGCTATGTCGCAATAATGACCGATTTCATGGCTGCAAACTAGTGACACAATGAAGTGAGAGAACCCCTTTTAATTTTTGTAGGCTAGCAATCATGATGTCATGATTACCGTAACATTGCAGCAACATCTATCTGAAAGGGGGTCATGTCTACTTTTACAGTATGTCTATGAATGTGAATATGTCGATGACAGTGTTGTAGAAGGTGCTATTATTTTGTAGCGCAGACGCAATCACCTCATAATAGTAAAACCCTGCCCTTTTTAAGCAGACGACAGATAATTACTTACAAATGGTTCTTTATTTTTCACAGGTACAAGTGAGCGTACAGATTTTGTGGATGGTGCCCTTGGGGTTGACTGGGCCCACATGCTCTCATGGTCTTCAGACTCAGCTCTAGGCTGGCTCAGTCGTGACTGCATCACAGGTGGTGAGTCTGGAGGTGGCTTCACAGGTGTATAAAGATCCAGCTTCACAGACGTTAAAACTTGGCTTGCATCTAAAAAATATATTTACAGTAGTTACTTAATAAACATTACTCACAATTCATTATTTGTTGGGTCATATTTTTTCAATTAGTACAATATTGATTGTGGTCAATTTTTGTCACCTGTTTTGTAGATTACATTTACACTTGGAAAAAAAAAAGCTGGCCTTAAGTTTGGTTTGCTTAAAATGGGGCCTGTCATGCCAAAAACCAGCATTAGTGAATAAAACAAGAATTCATATTCTCCACATAATGATTTTTAAAATAATAGCTGGAATCACCTACTATTTCGAAAGTTATGAGTAAAAGTATTACAGCTCCTCTGTACTAAAGTGTACAATACTGCCTACTTAGAGTAACATCCAGTGACAGTACACTAGTTTTGGGATGGCAAGCCTCAAAATAGTCTCAAGTCTCAAACAAATCTCAAGTTGCCAGTACCAAGCAAGTCCAGTTTTGATATTTTATATTTATATCATATCATGCACCAGTGAACTGTCCTGCCAAGTCCACCCCTTGAACACTTTTGCTAAGGTATATCAGAATAATTTTTTTTTCTATTTCTTAGATTTGTATCCTTGGTTATTATACTCCTACGCTACTTCTTAAATTCCTACCCACACTTTTTACATTCTTCTTCCCCTTACTAGAACTTTACTATAACTTCTTATATTCTTACCCCCACTTTTTAGATTCTTGTGCTCCTTCTTTTCTTCAGGACTAAACAAAGTTACTACCTTGTTTCGAACAGGATTAGGGTCAAGGGTCAACTCTGCTGCTGGTGGAATGAGCCCTCGTTCAATAAGGCTCAAGATTCCCTTGCCTGCATCTTTCTCTGAAATGGGTGGAGGAATGAGCTGTAACAGATAACAAAATATAATCGTGATAAATGAAGTATCAATATGAACGAAAGGCGAGTTGGATGGCCAAGCGGTTAATACTGGAGCGCCACAACGTAGCCATAATATTGGCTTCTCAGAAAACGACTATAAATCGTAGGCCCAGTGTACACAAATTGGCACATGTGCACTTTAAAGAACCAAGCACATCAATCAAGATGAGTAGGGGGTTACCCCAGTGTACTGGTTCATTCAGCCCCTGTTGTGGACAGACAAAAGTAGTGAGCAGTTGGCACCAGTTTACCACGTAGGTAAGACACAAGAAACGAAGAGACCCTTAGTGTAGAAGCAAGTTTACTGTAAGAGCTAATCCACACCTCAAGCGCTTTGAGACCATTTCGGTATAAAACGCTATATAAATCTAACTACTGCACATTATATTACAATGCGAGAAAAGCTTTACAAGCAATAGTTATGATACGAGGTAGAAGTAGGCTTAAAGTTTATTCTTACTTGTGGATCAACACGGTTTGCTCGTGGCAGAACTGCAAGGTGTTCAACATTTGATCCTGTAACTGGTTTTTGCAGAGGAACCTTTAAACAGAATTGAATGAAATAACAATTAAAAATTGTTACAAGTTTTAATAACAAATAAAATAATAACATTTCAAAAACATTACCAATGTAAGATTGGTTTTATTTAATTATTGCAAAAAAGATGAGGTCATTTAACAGGCTGCTAAGTGGGTGTGGCCTGGGTAAAACTTAGATCTGGGTCCGATACTTCTTTCAGTTTAAGGAATGTACAATACGGAGCTTTTTACAGAAGAACTTAAGAGATTATTGTTTACACACTCACTCTGTACCTCTGTCAACAGTCTGGATTTAAAACAATTTTGTAGCAACAATTCAAAATGTGTGTGCAAACTATGCACACTTTGCTATTAACATCACTTACCTTGTTTTGTCTCCGTTCAACAATAAGTGGAAGGGAAATTCCATAGTTTTCATTCACTAATTTTCTGTTCTGTGTGCTAAATGGGTCATGTAATGCCTTCATGTTATAAGTGAATTTAGCCTGCAAAATATAAATAATTATAAAAATAATAATCAATAACTATAACAATATAAATTACTAGTTAAACACCTGAATTAAAAAATTAATATCGTAACTTTACCAACAGCCTACAACAACAAACCTTTTTTATATTTATTTATTTATTATAGAGTGCCAGTCAAACTTTAAAATTGACCAAGGTCAGGAACACATGCTTGTCCCACAAACACATGTTTAAGTACATTATTTTGGGGGACCAAGGTAAAGATATCCAATGGGTAGTCCATTTGTATACAATTCTTTTGATTATTACATATCAAAAGTCACAGGTAACTCATTTACCTGCTGTCCTGGTGATGGTCCAAAAGGCCCACCAGCCCCAGTTGGCTCTATGGCAGTATATCGAGGTAGGGCACGTCTGAAAAAAAAAAATTTTATATATATAGTTTAGTGTATGGTAGATAATCAAATTAGTTTAATATTACATGGTAATCTACTACTTTTTGCAGACTTTTGAACACCATAGTGTGAGCATGTATATTGACTCTGACGGTGCTTTTTTTTTCTGCCAAACCAACATCCACGATAATTTGAATTGTAGAAAATATCACTAAAATATATCAAAACCTTGTATATGATCCAACAGCTGGCTTGCGGTTGGAGAAATCTGATGACGTCAGATCCCATAATGTTTCTCTGGTAAAACAAAAAATAATAATAATAATAATAATAATAATAATAATAATGGTGATGGTGATGATGATGATGATGGTGATGATGATGATGATGATGATGATGATGACATTATGTTGGTCACAATATTTAAAATATATTACAAACATCATTAAACAATAATTTTGACTACATATAAAAGCACAAATTGTGAGAATTTAGTATTGATGGATTATGCATGCACTTACTGTTTGCTGACAATCTCACCGACTTTGCCTTTGGTATCTACAGAGGGCAGTGTTGTGACCCTGTTGTTGACCACATTTAAAATCTGCTCCGACCTGGCCTGTGAATGGTAAAACATAATTGATTGTATAATTTGTATATTTTTTAGTTTCTAATTTAAAATACCAACTTGGGATGGATAAAATTCTTCTTTATCAACTGCAAAAAATATCAAGAGTTCTCTTCAACCTGCAAACTGCAGGACTGTGGTACAAGATCCCTGGAATGGCTGTAAGATCCCCATTGTTCCAGAAATTCATAAGCCACATTCAGCTCGGTTGGTCATGTGACGTATGGTGGGTATCAATTGTAAACATGCAGTGCGAGCGACGCTCGGTAATACGAAAATGCGTGGATTCTTCGGTGTGTTAGTGCTGTAAAGCACATATCCAAAGTTGAATATGTTGGTTGGAATGCCAGTAACTATACCAAAATTGATTGGAAATTGAAATTGAGAGTTTTTCCATGATGATTTTGCTAATGATCCAAGAGATGCTACCCCCAAACATTGAAATTTTTTGAGAAATGTTAGGACTAGGGTCCTGCATTTCTACGGCCTGTTTAGGTATGTACGAGGGTATTCGATCCATGAACTGCAATTTTGACATGCTATGATTTCTAGGTTAGGTTCTAGCTTAGGTTTACGAAGGATCACATAAATTGAAAAGCATACAAAGCACATTGAACGCTAGAATAAGTAAATAAACACTATTTTGAACAATCGTAGTGACTTTCGCCAGATATTTCTCACGTTAATCGTAGGCAAATTTTTTCGACACCATAACATTACCCTTTCCCATACTTTAACACTGATCGTACTGTGACCGGTTGTAAACAAACATTGCTGAATGTGTCTATTGCTTTCATAAACATATTTCATTATTTTCATTTAGACAGATATAACAAACATCAAAAACTTTACCTGTGAGTTGTGAAAGTGTGTATACATAACCAAACAAGTGACAAAAAAAATGTGTTCTTACTTTAATCCCAAATTCTGTTTTTGCAATAGCATTCTCTAGAGCCCTGATATCAACAATTTCTTTGTTAGCACCATCCCGTGTGTTTGCTTGCAGAAGATGATCTTTCAGCTGCTGTAGGTCTTCTTGTACCTAAAGGAAACGAGGATAGAAAATAATACACTTAAATTATTCTTTTGTTAATTAGCAAATTGATGTAGGCCTAGGTAGGGAGGCCTAGAAATACGGTACTGTATCTCTAGCTATTGTGTTACATTAATGCTGAATGTTCCGCAGAAGCCAAAGAAGTAGTGGACCAGATAGAAGCTAGGCGCCTAGGTAGGCTAGTATGCCAGGGCTACCCTAGCAACTAAGTAGACATAGGCCTAGGCTTAGGCCTAACACTAGGGCCTAGGCTAGTCTAGATAGGCCTACCTAGGCTAGGCCTAGGAGTTTGGTAGGCTAAACCGGAAGACAATCTCTTCTGCTGCTGATCTTTTGGACTGTGACACCCTGTAAAACATACCCTAGGCCTAGTTAGTAGTAGTAGTAGTAGTAGTAGTAGTAGTAGTAGTAGTAGTAGTAGTAGTAGTAGTAGTAGTAGACCTAGCCTAGGCCTAGTAGTAGTAGGCCACTAGGCCTACACTAGGCTAGACCCCCACAACGATAGGCTAGCTACTAGGTAAGCTAGCTAGCAGGCCTAACAAATGATAAATATTACTTCTTACCTTTACTAAAATTTCGCCCACTTGTTCGGGGCTTTCTTGGACGTCCATCATTTCAGTGACTGCATTTCTATAATATAATATTTAGAATATTTAGGCCCTTTTAAGACTAAGGAAGTAAACTAGGGGGCCTAGGCCTAAATACATCACAATTCATTACAGTACAGGTTTCTGTGGGCAACCGTAAATATTGGCTTGAGGGCGCTGCTTATGAAACGCCGCCAGAGCCATTAGATAGAAAGAGTTGCGACATTGAGAATTTAAAAGCCATTCTGTGTCCAACGCGATCCGCGTTCAAATTATAATTTCTATGTAATTACGGCTACGTTCAGGCTTGGAGATAAGCCAGGCTTGAGTTAAGCCCGGCTCAACGTTAAGCCCGGCATAACTTTGCCGGGCGTTCAGACTAGCGGGTTTAGCCAGGCAAGAATTTGCATAATAATGAACCGTAACCAGGAAACGTGTTTCAAAATATTGCTCGCGAAACGTACTCTCGCTCACAGCGTACGTAATTGAATGCTGATTGATCATTTCGTCACCCGAAGTCAATGCAAGACCCCCACAACGATTAAAGCCGGGCTTAGAAAAGTTAAACACGTTGGTGCGCCAGGCCTAGTTACTATAGGAACACAGCCCGGCTTGAGATAAGCCACCTAGTTCAGACTGGCAGGTGGATAAACCCGCCGGTGAGTTGAGCCGGGTTTATCCACCTAGTCTGAACTAGGCCATCATGTAATTCGCATTTAATTATCAAGCTCGCGTGAACACGCGCAAGTATTCGAATTCTAAAGATAAATTCTAATCACGCTTTTGATATTAAATAGTTATTAATTAAGTAATAACATCATAAACACAATTAAAAATGTGAAAATACTTGGTAATATACCTAACTCATATACTTTGTATGTGTTCATCAGGAAGATTTGGACACAAAAATGGACGGTGTATACCACGTGACTTTCGAAAACCGAGGAGGAGCGGAATGTCGCAACTCTTTATATATATATGGCTCTGAACGCCGCTACGCACAAATCTAAGATCTAAAAGACTCAGATCTTTCATCTGCCGTCTAAAGTATTAATCCGAGATTAAAATGTAGTCTCATCTTTTCTATTTTTATTAATTATATAATATATTTTGACTTCTTTAGTTTTCTGCCGTCAGGCCAGTCCTAGGTTTTGGCTCCTGGCTGCCAGCTCTCCCACAGGCGTCTGTCCCCTCTTTCTTGTCTTCATTTTACACATACGGCCTTTTATCCTTAAGATTGCCTATTATTCCTATCCTCTTCAATTCCCTCCTCTTGGATTTTCCCCTTCCATTCGTCCTTCTATGTCTATTTTAAACAACCTATCTCCCCTTAAAACATGACAATCCATAAACAGTATTTCATATGCTGTTTTTGTAGTCCATTAAATCAAATATTCCATGATATTTTATTATGCTGTTCTCAAAACAAAATTTTAACAAAATTGATGAAGTGACATTGAAAGCAGCAATTTCCAGTAAAGGGTCATCTGCGTCCATTGGTAAGATGCCCAGTAGAGCTTCAATTGAATTTAAATTTTTCGACGAAACACATAAAACGTAACTTAACTAGGCTATAATTATGAAAATAAACCATTAACTATTTAATTTGAAGGAAATGAAGTTGATAGCCAATAAAAACCGCAACAGTGCCTGGGGTATTGGAAATTTATGAGACACAACAAGTGAACATTTTCTATTGGAGGATATAGGCCTAATCAAAACGAACACTGAAAAGATCATCTAGTTTATTTTAGAGGCGTCCGTTACCTTGAGTCATGAGACGTATGCCCGCAAAATCATAATCTAAAATAATCTAGAGTATCACTACGTAACTGCCGAGCCCTACCATATGAAAGTTGGTCCCCTAATGACGCACGTCCGTGTGGTTGATGACATTAATATCAGTTTTAATCTAGACCAGTGACTTACTAGGCTATTATTTCAGTCATAAAAAACGTGCATGCTGGTGCGGGGGGGGGGGGAGTCCCCTCTAAAACCGCCCCTAGGAACAGACCATAGCAAGAAATACAATCCATTCATAAAGTTATTACTTTTTTTGACAGTAACACGATAAAAAAAAAGAAGATAGGCCTAACCTTTTTTAATCAGGGTCGTCAATGGATATTGAGGTCAACGTAAATTTACTAATTCAATTCTTGTCTTGTCGTGAAGAGGATACAAATGCAATTTTAATTTTACGATCGGTCATACAGAGGCCAACAAAGAATGTTTATAATTTTTACTTTAGATAGATTAATCTAGGATGTCAGTTTCACCTTGCATACATCACATACCATGTATTTATGTGATATTAAATGATAAAAAAAACAAACATGACAAGTAAAAGTTCACTTTACATTAATTGAGTCAAGTAGACCTTATAATTTCCCGAGTCTATGCCCCGTGACTCCAGGTACGAACGCCTCTTGTGGTCTTCAGTGCTCATCTTGATTATTTCCTGTGGAAAAGTGAGCTTATTTCTGCTCGGTGGTGTGTCTCATCAATTTCTATTAACTCAGGCACTGTTACAGTTGTTAAATTAAATTCCAGACCACTTTTGGATGGTCTTGGGGTTTAAGTCTCGAATTAGAGCGTTAGCTTTGTTTTAATATACTTTGTTAGTTGGTACAGTAGTAGACGTTGAACAAGTGTTCTTGGATAAGATAATAATAATCAGAGGGGCCTCGAACAGGCCGGGGTGAACTGTTGATTTTTTCTTCATAATTGTATTCGAACTATCAGTTTCGATGGGTCTCAGGGGTGGCGCCAGGATTTACCCGACGGGGGTGCCGATGTCCCCGACGCGAGCAAAGTCGGCGTGGTCGGGTGGCGTCACCCAAATCCCGAAAGTAGTTCAATATGAGGGTTTTCAAGGCTTATTTAATCGATTTTGTAAATAGATAATGTAGAGTCTACTAATGTAGAATATCCATAGAATTTTTTTTTTTCCTGACGAATTGCGGTTTTTCTCGCCGACAGGAGTGTGGGGTGCATCACCCTCCGACCCCCCCCCCCCACTGGCGCACCCCTGGTAGGTCTTATATGTTATGCCAATTCCAAGCTGCTTTCGGCCACTGTGACGATATTGTGTTGCTTAAAATATTTGTTGTAAAATATAAGAGGAGGGGGGCTTGAAGATGGTACTGGTGAGAGTGATTATCGCATTAGCAATGGTTATTATCTACCATCTAATGTAAGCCTCAATCTCCGTACGTATAGTAGGACTTTATAGTATATACAAGGCCTACTTATGATTTTGCCTGTTTATAGGTCTACCATTTGGCCTATACCCAGAAAAACCGTTCACATGACTCCTGACCTTTGCCATCTGACGTGACACACACTAACACGAACCTGAAAACATACGCAACTTGTCTCTGATCGTGGCGTCGGTGATGTATTTTGCGGTTAGTCGTATAGCGAAATCGTAGGCGTACAGCCGTCGTAAATCATTCAATATCTGTTCAAAATAATATAATTTGATATATTTTTGTTTTCATGTTTCATGTGTTCGAACCAAGAATTTAAATATATTCCAGTCATACTGACGTCTTTCTGTTTTGCTGTGATTTTTTTTTCTTCTGAAGGCAGGGCAAAGCATTCCCCCTTAAATTTAATAGAGAACCTAATTCGTTAAAAATTGTGATTAAGTAAGCCGTACGGTAATGAAAATAATAGGCCTATAATGTTCAACTTAGTTCCGTAGTAAAATGGTTGGTTTATTGCTGTCTCTTATACACATCTAGATGTGTATAAGAGACAGATATATGACAGTACGTTTGATAATGATCATGTCAAGCAATGCCTGAATACCTGAATACATTATTAGGCCTAGACATTGCTTGGCCTAGACTTGCCACAAGTCTCTTATTTTTTATTATTTTTCTCATTCTGGACGGCGCCACCAACGAGAAAGTTAATTTAGAGACAGAATAAGCCGAAAAAGAAAAAGAAATCGAGTATGGGACGCCAATTAATTAGGTATGGCGCGCAGTAAGTGACGCTACACTGTCATCATCATCGGTGTACAGAGATTCCATAATAGGCAATCTTATATATACGAAGTGAAGTTTGTGACACGCCATTCTATACGTAATTCAACCGTATCAAATTCATGAACAAGACCGTAACAAGATCATGAATAAAAACAAAAATGTACGAACGATAAAGGGAACGAAGTGAAATCAGACTAGGGTTTCTCTCTGTTTCTTTCTTTGCCACTTTTAGTGTGTTTTGTAAAAAATATATATATATATAATAATACATTTCGAGACTCGTTTGTAGTGATGAATTTACTTTTTATATATACCTATTGAGAAACCTCGAATAAAAGCCCAAATGGGCTTAACCTCGGGAAGAAGCTCATCTCCAACCAGAGAGCAGCTAAGTCGGCAAAACTGGTGGAAGCCACTGTGTGTGCGCTGAATCTTTGAGATCTCTTGGTCCCCGGTTCAATTATTGTCGCTGCTTTCCTTGTATTTCTGCTAAAGGGCTGAAATACTAGTTATGATAGCGCACCGTCTTTCGGATGAAGACGTTTAATCTGTTGAGGTCCCGTGTGCATAATGGACATTTAATTTGCTAAAGCATGGCTACTAGGTGAAGCTAAATCCGACTATATAAATTCATTAGAAGATTGAAAATTGTTAATATAATTGTTGTTACAAAAAAATGTACACACGTATATTACATTATTCATAGGCCTATTGTTTGTTATTTTATAGCAATAGATTATATCAAAAGCTTGATTTTTATTATATAATTTACATGCACATACTTAGTAATCAAACAGGCTGTCGTTGGCATATTGATCATCATCATGCCTAATTTTACCCAAAAAAAAATTTTCTTGTGAGTTAAAACTGTGTTGAGTAGTCTTATGCGGTTTTGTAGTACAGGATTTTGTGCTAACATTTAATTTGTTAAAGCATGTCTAGGGGAAGCTAAATCTGACTATATAAATTCATTAGAAGATTGAAAATTGTTAACATGATTGTTATGTTAAAAATGTACCACGTTTAATAAATTATTCATAAGCCTATTATTTGTTATTTTATGGCAATACATTATATCAAAAATTATATCGTTCGCACTTTATATGAACTCGTCCATCGAGAAGCGCAGCGCAGGAAGTTACTCCAGTCTCTA